TGATATCACACCATACTACAACTATCAACCTAATAATAGAGGATCGGAACTAAGATCGACCTTGACCATAGTGTCAACCAGATAAAAAAAAACATTTTATCAAATAAAATAAGTTTCTGAACATGACTTGATATGGCAACCTCAACGGAACTGTTCAAGATTTTTTTTAATAAAAAGTTAAATAGTGGTGCTTAATAGAGGGTGCTTAAGATTCTAAACACAAAGCTGACAGCGAGGAACCAGGTCACTGGTTTAAACATCTGGGCAATGCCTAACACGGCTCTTAATGACGAACCCCAACGCATTAGTTAAGAGGCTCTACCATCCTCGAGCAAGCGCTGGGTCGGCGGCAAATGGTGAACATCTTAAAACTAGTCTAGAAGCGACAACGCGGGTTGGCTCTACCCAGATTTCATATGGCCATCTAGAGCACAGTTATTAGGACTCGCGAATAACACTGCCTAAGGCTGGAGGAAAGATGTCGAAAATGTGGAACCTAGAAAATCGCAAGCTGTAGGTCGCTTGCAGGCAACGCATACCACAATTAAGTGGCTAAACTCATCCACCACCAAGAATGATCTTCTTCAGATATGGCCACCCAACTTCAAATATCAGTTCGAAGTAGTTCTAGAAACAGAAAGAGCAGTACTGTTATTCAACTTCTATCATATGGTCTACTGTACACATAAAATTGGTATTTTTGTTTATTCTTATGTGTGTTGCTTATTTGTTGTATTTTTATTGGAGAAGTATTCATAGTTCACGCATGAACTAGTTTCATAAATGTTTACTAGTAAATTATTTTTTAAATGTAATTGTTAGAAAATAATTGATAAAATTGAAATATTTGGCGGTACCCAATTAAATTATTTTCCTAAAATAAATTGTAAGTGTAAAAGTTTCTAATAAAGCCGCATATTGAAGTATATGTTTCCCCATGTCATTATGTAAATTTTATTTAAATTTAGTTAAGAAGAATGATAGGGGTAGTTTAATTCCCCTCTATTTTTAAAGAAATATGCAGAAATTCATTTCATCATGATAGTAGAACTTCCGTAATGTTTTATCATTTTATATATTTTGGTTTTTGAAATAAAAACATAATTTTTTTCCACATTTATAGCTATATCTCGCAGTCAATAATACATGCCAACAAAGATTTGGTCATTTGGTATTTTTCACATTTTTGGAGTTATAGGGAGTAAACTAAACTAAAACAATGTTGTTTTTCTTTCAATCACGCAACATCTTAATAAGGACATTACGTAACATTCTGAAAATTGAAATTTCTATGCCACTGGCATACATTTTGCATAAATTAACAGAATATTAACAGGAAATTCGACATAGTCTTTATAAGGAATGCGAAGAAGGTTCAAGATATTTTAATAATAGGACCAGGCGATTCTATGGTATAGAGAGAGCTATTTCTGCTTGTGCAATGTTTGTTATACTACTAAAAATTTGAAGAACAAGTCTGCAATTAGGCCGGTGCCACATGAACCAGATGTCCCAATACCTGAGAATTCAGCCAATTTAGAATTCGATAACATCCATTTTTTTGAACCTGAAATAGATCAAGATAGCCTTAGTGATGTTGGTATTATATGTAGTACCTCTCAGCAGATTTAGTGAGAGATTTAGGTTTACCTAAGGATCTTTCCAAAATTTTAGTATCTAATCTTCAAAAATTTACTGACATAAAACGTTAAAATGCCATATTTCATTTCAATTTCATCGATATTCCTAATCTGATAAAAAAAAACTTGGTACATATTACACTTCTGAGGACTGGAGGCTTTTTATTGACTAATCCAAGAGAAGCTGTTCTTTCGGAAATGTGAAAATGAAAGAACGCTACGAAAATCTGAAACTAAATGCGAGACTTCTACTAGGTCAGGAGTCAGGATACATGAAGCACACCTGTTTTTTGTGTAAGTGGGACGGTAGAAACATTGGGTGGAAAAGAACTGGCCAAAAAGAGTTAATTTAACTCCCGAATCAAAAAATATTCTTCACGTTAGTCATTGATTCACGGAAAATTCTCTTAGCGCCGTTGCATATTAAATTTGAACTGATGAATCAGAACGTTAAAGCCTTAAATAAAGATGGAGCATATATTAAATACCTATGTGGAAAATCCACTGGGGAATCTACTAGACGAAGTTTTTCGGCCAAGAGTGATAGAGCTTTCACAAATTAATGTTCTTAACTATTGTTTGAGGCTTTGTTATTTAATTTAGATTATCTTAATTCGGTTTTTGTTTTTGACTAATAAAATAATGTTTTGGTCTGTTTAAAATCTACCCTTTACATAGGTTGCCGTGTATATTTAAAATTAGTTAGTGCAAATTTGACTTGCTTTAAAGTGCTAAAACAGAGGTTAATATCATTATTGTTAAACAATTAGAAACAACTGAACCCGAAGGATTGTCTGCAAAATGAGCTAAAACAGCCTCTTTTAACTCAACTTCGTCGTTAAATCGCCGTCCACGTAAGTCCTTTTTCAAATATCCAAACAAATAATGGTCGCTGGTGGCCATATCTGGACTATAGGGAGGGAACCCACACGCTTGTGCAACACCAGCAGTATGGACAGGCGCATTATCGCCTCTGGTCAGTTTTCCTCCACGTTTTACACCGTATGCAGTCTCACAATTTATGTAATAATGTTGCGTCATATTTACCATTGACAGTGGTATTAGTTTCTTTAAAATCTATCAAAAGAATTCCAACACAATCCCAAAAGATCGTGGCCATCACCTTTACGACGCCACTCCATTGATTCTTTTTTCGATAGAGGGTCATAACAGAGAACCATAGTTTCATCTCCCGTCACAATAGTTTCTAGCACGGACTTCGGTTCCGATCCACAGAGTTCCAAAAAAGACCGTGCACACTCGACACGGCGTTGTTTTTGAATAGCCGAAAGGTTTTTAGGAACCCATCTTGCACTAACCTTATGCATACCTAAATGATCATGCAGGATTCGAAGAATACTTGTATCAGACAGCTTAGTAATTTCTGAGATTTGCTTGACCTTTAAACATTGGTTACTGAATACCACAATATCTTCCGTTATGACTTCCACTGGTCGACCAGTTCTTGAATCATCTTCAAGGGACTCCTGCCCCATTCGCATACGAAGGAGAACTTTAGCCGTACACACCATCCAGCCATTCTTTAATAATTTTAGGTGCTAACCCTTCTTTTATCAAAAACTTTATGACGGCTCTATACTCAATTTGCGTTATATGCAACATTTTTTCGGACACGTCGTGTTTAAAATGCTGTCAATAAAAAACTATTTGACCCAAGACTTCAATTTTTTTTTCGCAGCTTACTAAGATACATATTTAAAAGAAGACAAAGTTTTATCGTGATGCTGGAGCTGCATCTATGTCAGGCCGGGAAATTTTGGCGCTAATCTCGTACGTACACGCTAATAACGAAATATTTTTGTTTACAAAAAACGTCACCATGGCCGATCAGACGCTGCTACCCAGATAAAACTTTAATGCGCTTTAATTGCAATGTTTTGGTTTTTTGCTTATGACTCAAACATCAGTGAAAATAGATATACCATAAAACTATAAGGATTCCATTGAACCCCAAAGATGATGTCCCGAAAATTATTATTTATAAACTGTTACAAGTGTTTCGCCCACATGGGCATCATCAGACCTATAAAAGCAATTTTTTGAAATAATTAAATAACTTCAAAATACGCACATACAAAGAAGTCAACTCAAAGGCACAAATTGGAATGAGACAGAATCCGTTTGATTTTACCGAGAACTAAAAAATGAAATACGAAATGTTGCGATTAAGAAGTAAAAAATATAACAATATAACAAAAAAAAACACCTGACATTTCCATTCGGAGAAAAGTTATGTTCCGTAGACAAAAGATGAGTAGGGAAAGCAGATTTGGTTAGTTGGTTAGTAGATTTGGCAGATTGTTCGTTTTAAACGCTATTGATAAATTCCTACTCTTGAACAATTTAGCTAGATGTAACGAAATATTACAGAAATAAATCAACTTGCGTTCTGGAGGTTTTGATTTTATTATATAATACAATAACTGGTATTTGTTGCCAAATTTGTAAAATAATTTGTTGATTGATCAAACTGGATAACCGTTATTGAATGCAATTTGTCTAATTGAAAGTGGAATATTGAAAACTCTGTAGAATAAAATCATAACAGAATCAAATTTATTAGAGTATGGAGAATTGGAGGAGAATTGTCAGTAGATGTGACTTTTCTGAACATCTCGAATTCAATCCTTTTACTTTTCGTAACTAATAGAAGATGAAGAAACGGTAAGGTGCCACCGACTTCCTTCTCCAACGTAAAATAAATGTTCACATTTAAGGAATTTTAAACATTTAATTTGAATGGTTCCTTTTTCAATCTAAGTACAGACAATGCTTTTGTTTTTTTGATTGATTTATAAAAAAGCGATGATTAAGCAAAACCATATATAATTTTGATCAAATCGTTAGCGTTTTTTTAATGTCGTAAGGTTTTTGGTTTTTTCTGTGAATACGATACGATTTCATTTACGGCAATTTAGATAAATAAAAATTTAATTGTATTTTTAAAATTATATCGCCAAAAGAAAAATTTGCCCGCTAAATTCAACAACCCCATCAGCATATGACCCACTGTGGGGCCGATGGACCTCGACCTCGTCGAGAGCGCCAAACCAGAAACCCTTCGACGTTTGGGTCCCCTCCCGCCCTCCACGTCGGCCGCCGTCGCCAAAAACACCGAAAACTGCACGATCCGAACAAAAACCTCCAATTACCGAAAAAGACTCGGCAACGCCGGCCGAGAGACCGCCGGCCCGCCGCTCCTCCTCCCCGCCCCCCCCACTTCCACCGCCTCGCCGGTCTTTTGGGCGAAATTGTATGCAACTTGTCGCGGGTGCAACGCGATGCCTCCACGATGCGGCTTTAGTCGTTCTTCGCGCGCGCTAACCAGCCCAACAAAAACAACCATCGTCGTCCCGACAGCGTAAACGTAGACGCACGACCCCGCCGAATATGTGAGACCGAGTGTTTATTTTTGTGCGGGACCGTGAAAAAAAAAATGGCAATCAACTTTTCGGCTTCGTTCGCTGCCTGCCTGGCCGCGGGACTAAAAGTGCCTCGTCAGATTATGTATTGCATCTCGCAAGGTAGGCGCCCGCGGTCGATAATTAACCAACCCCCTTGTAAATAATCGAGAACAGACACCACAGCCGTGTGGCGGAATCACTGACCCGCGTTCGAGCGTCTCGACGTCCGCTGGACGCCGACCCGACGCACTTGCAAGGTTCCCGCCGAGAAAGTTGTTTTGTTTGTTGTTGTTTGCCAGGCGCGTTGGCCTTCGGAGTTTGATATTGGGAGCAAATAAACGATAACGATGGGCATGAAGAACTTCGCGAAGTTCCCGAAGCAGATTGCCAGAGGAACCACTTCTTTCTGCGGTTGAAGGTCACAGACGTTGATAAATCTTGATGAAACTGTATATACTATATACCTTGGACTTCCATTGATTATTAACCTTCTGAACGCTTCAACTGTTCATCTATCTCCGGCTGCCTTCAGGAGAATTAGTGTCCACCTGAAGATGACTGAAGATCACTTTGACATTTTTGACAAATCTGACCTGCTTGATCGATTGCTGCACTCCAAATTGCTCTGAAAATAATAGAAAAAAAATCTAAATTGTCTTATGGGAATTTACATGTAAAAATGAGAAAATTTATTCTTGAACACACATGCTATTCTACTGGATCAAAGTTACCCGTGATTCGGGGTTACTTTGACACAAACGTTAATTTCGATATAAAAAGCATTTTAAAGCATCAAAGAAGTACCGGCAATGGACGCAAAATCAAGAAGCATTAATTTCAAATATTTTGTTTTTGCTGAGAAACTCTTATTTAAGGCACTGGTCATTACAATCACAAAATTGTTTAATTATATTACACTAACGGAAAAAGTCTTTGTTATTTATAAGAACCAAAGGTTAAACGTACCCAACACTAAGAAAAGATTTCTCAACTTAAAAACTAAATAAACTTTTGGCATAAACAAAAAATAAATAAAACTTAAATTTAATCTTTTTTAATTTTCGATCTATTTCGATCCCAGTTTCATCGCTTTTATCGGTATATAGTTCCTCCGGCTCGTCAGTCTTCGCAAACTAGGCACACATAAAATAACATTCCGTCCAGTCGACCCTCCCTAGTTGGTTTTTAAAAAACATGCGGCGTATAGCACATTTTGAATTTAAATCGCCCTTCTCAAACTTGCTTTTGTTATACTAAAAGGAGGACGCACATTAGATTTCTTGACTTTGCCTATGACCTATTTTGATAGTATTTCTGATCGCCCTGGCTGGCTGTCGTCGCTCTTGTCTAGGATTGAGGTTGAGATTCTACTTCATTTTGGATTTGCTCACTTGAAATCACTTGATCTTCAATAGTCATCTGCTTTCCAGCTTCAAACTTCTTTCCCTTTTTTCTTTTTTTCTGATATTCCCTTCATTCCTTTGTAAAACTCCACCAATGATGAATCAAGAACTCGTCTAGTTACAGGTAATCCTCCAGGAATCTTCCTTAAAACTTCATCAACCTTCATTCGGTACAGTCCGATGGTTTTAAATGGTAGATGGTTCTTTGGGTAAAGTACTTTTTTCCAATATTTCGCACCACTTCTTCTTAAAGGGTACAAATACAGCCACGTCTAATGCACGCATCAAATGTGTGGGGATGGCGGGAAAAGGGCGCATATAAATATTATTTTCTAGGGCTGCTTTTATGACCCGTGGTGAAAAATGACTAACCAAGTTACAGCTACAACTGCTCGTGTTTCTGGTTCCTTGGTAGAGCTATTATTTGGGGTAAAAGGGATTTAGTCCAGTACACCAAGGTTTATGTCCAGTACACCAGTTTTCATATAAATTGGATAATCTCTAGCTGCATTACCAAAGATCATTATGCTGACACAGAACCGAGAATAGTTTTCTTTCTTCGCTCCAGGATCATCAGCGATATTAGTTTCGTCGTAATTGTATAAATTTTTATTATTAACATAAACTAATGCTTCCAAAATGCACTCAAAAAACTGAGTAGTGTCTAGTCTATCTACGGACGATCGGGATTTTTTAATATTTGTGTGAAAAGTTTTTATTTCTTGATAAAGTTTCCTACAAAATCGGGTGCACGATAATTGACTTTGAATTCAGGAATCATTTTGCTCTGTTTATCCAGGACTTTTTTGACCATGGTACGAATTTCACACTTTGTCGCCCGTAATTAAGTGTTACGAATGTCCTCCTGTTCAGCGCTGCTAAAGACACTTGGATGACCTACCGACCCGTTGTGTATACCACTTATTACGAAGTGTGATTTGGACAGTTTTTATAGCTTCAAGTGCTTTTCTCAAGTCCTCGTAATATCTTACCATTCTTAAATACTTAGTACCTGTAACATTAGAAATTGATATTAAAAAATGTAAAACTAAAACAAATGCTCGTAGCCCCGTGTGACGGTACTCATCAGTTTATTATTAACCTTCACAACGTTTCAACGGCCCAAATAACTCCAGTCGTCTTCAGGTTATTATTCATCTGAAGATAATTGGAGACTCTGGTTCAAGCTGGTCAAGTCGTCTTCAGGTGACTACCAATTCAGTACTAACACACCTGAAGGCATCTGGACATATTTGACGAGTTGAAACGTCCTGAAAGTTAATAATAAAATCAATGGAAGTCCAAAATATCTTGTTTCATCAAAGTTAAGTAGTAATTTCAAGAGAAAAGAAACAATTTCGTCCTTCTACGCGGCCATTTTATTTTAATGTAGTGTTTTTTATTTAAAAAAAAAACCCGCAAGACGTTAGTACGGTACTTACATGTTTCGAGCACTCGGGTGCATACTTTACTAACATTAAGTTAGAGTAACAATAACTCAAATTATTCTAACTCGCTATGTAAAGTTAATTAACTCTTATCCAAATGTTTAACACTTTAAGTTTTGGCACAGTTCAAGATTGTCGTAACGCCTTTTTTATAAAAAGGAATTTTACATTAGAGGAGGACAAAGCTCTCTAAATATCTTTCTTTTCTGAATCTGACTGGCCTAAAGAATGAACTGCTTCAATCAGATTCACAATGGAAAAGTGGAGAAAAACGAAGAACGACGCCGATTAAGATGGAACAAGGAAAACTTTAAAGTTCTTTTGAAAATGCTTATTGGTTGGCGAAAAAAAATCATATTCGTGCCAAAATGCCTGTCAAACGAATCAATATTAAAATACGTGCCTCCTGAAGGAGGGTGAAGAAAAAATATGAATGCGACTTTGAGCGGGACTATACGTAAATTTTTCGAACTAATAATAATTTAACTTCAAAAGTATACACAATAAAAAATTCAAAAATATATATGGTAACTATTTTATCAGGTTTTCGATTTTATATTTTAAAGGCTTTATTTTAAAATTTAGAGGTAGCATTACGAGTCTTAAATTTCTCTTCTAGGCATTAATAAAGTATTTGGGATTTTTTTTACATTAAATTTGAATAGCTGGAGCTTTTTTGTTTCGTTAATTTTCTCTCTCTGTATTTCTATTTAATAATTTCAACAAGAGCTCTATACATTTTCGATTGAATTTCTCTTCTTTAGCAACGACAGAGTGATCAGAAGCAACCAAAATGTCATTTCTATTGTGTGGATAAAAACGAACCAGGCTAAAAACGAATAAAGGTTACTCGAAGAGCAACTAACCATTCTAACTAATCTAAACTTCACCAACACCATATGACGTGCATACAAAACAAAGTTCACGTGCTAACTGACAAAGAATAATCTCAAAAAGTACATTTTAAAATAAACTGCAAAAAAATATAATCTAAAAAATTCAACTTTTGCAAGGAATATTATCGGACTTTTCGATGCACGACTTTGCCCTAATTTAAATAATAAATACCAACAACAATTATTTAACTAGAAGAATATATTTTTAATAAATTATTGACACCTTAAATACACGCAATTATACTTGGATAAGAGTGGAGGGAATTCGATTTAATTCAGTTAGAAGCGAATAAAGAAATATAGAATTCCCCGGCCGTAGGAGAGGCCGTTGAACCACGTGATCATTTTCTCAGGAGATGCGTTTTGCGGTTCGCTCATCACCAACGTAAATTGAGAAAATACAGATTATAGCAAAAATGTAGGCGACCAACAAACAGCATTTAGTACGAAAACGGCCACTCTATTGAAAGGATTTTCGTGTCCCATCCAAACTAAATTAAAAAAAAACTTTAAAACGGGTTTCTACTTTGCTACGAGTTCCTCGGTAAATTTGACTCAGAAAACAAATCAATTAATTAATTGTACAAAAAATATTTTTAGAATGAAAACTCTATTATAAGCTCTCAGTTTGAAAAACATCCTCAGATGGGAATTCTAGGTTAGGGAAGATGCTATAAATTCCGTATACCAAAAAAACACACGAAGAGTGGACGACAAAACGGTCAAATTTTTCTTGGAAATTTCGCATCATAATATTTTTGAAAAAAAAAATTCAGTCGAAACTTAAATGAGTATAGTTTTTGCAGTGATGTTTTAAAATATATACACTTTAATCATCATCATCATCAGCATATTCCATTTAAAGTCAGCAAAAGGAGCAATTCACCATCAGCATCTGAAAAATATTTCACAAAACAATAGGATTTCACATGTTTCACAGAGATTCGATAGATTTTCCGATAATTTAGCGGACTTGACGTCTGATTTTGCAAAAAATAATCAATAAGTTTAAAATATATAAAAAGCACACAGTTTTAAATCCTCTTTTCAAAAAGTAATAAAGTCAGTGCCATTATTAATAACTATATAAATAAAGTAATAAATAAATCCATAAACTTTCACAACGTAGCTTAAGTTTTTTTCAATTTTTGTTAATTTATTTTCTTCCTTTCTCTTCAGATTTAAGAAACTTCGAGGAAAACTTACTTACCGAGTTACTTACTTTAAATAAATAACAGAAATTTTCACAAAAATTATCGAATTACATACGCCGATCTGATATAACAACTATAACTAATACAAATCTGAAAATTTCAGGTTATCTGTACTCTGTGCCCTATTTAGTAAATAATTTTGATAATTATTATTTGGTT